ACAGTGACAGTACAGAACAGACAAAGAACAGTTTCCAGGACACAAACAGCCACTGTAAGAATTAGACCAATATGTAAAGTCAATAACGGCATCAATTGAAGGAAGAGATGGGTAGGTGCCAATGCAAGAATTCATCCAACAGCCTAGAAATCAACATGGTAACACCAGAACCCAGTAGCCATACATCAGGAAGACTAAGATCAACCTACCCCAGAAGAAGCAAAATAAAATGATTTTAAACATATCTAAACACAATAAAAGCAATAGACAAAAAGCAGATAGTCACATCAAATTAATGGAGAGAATCTCAAAGAGATTCCACTAAAATCAGAAATAAGACAAAGCTGTCCACTCTTTTCATATCTATTCAACATAGTTCTTGAAGTTCTAGCCAGAGAAATAATTCAACAACAATAACAAAAAGAACAAGTGGATTCAAATTGGAAAGAAGTCAAACTTTTGTTATTTGCAGGTGATATGCTAGTTTACATAAGTGACCCCAAAGACTTTACTAGGGAACTTCTACAGGTGATAGATACCTTCAGTAATGTTGCAGGATATAAGATCAACTCAGAAAAATCAGTAGCCCTCCTATATACAAATAATAAAGAAGCTGAAAAAGAAACCAGAGAAACATTACCCTTCATAATAGCCACAAATGACATAAAATATCTTGGGGGTATCACTAAACAAAGAAGTGAAAGATCTATTTGAGTAAGTCTTTGAAGAAATTGAAGAAGATACCAGAAAATGGGAAGATTTCCCATGCTCTTGGATAGTTATGATCAACATAATAAAAATGGCAATCCTACCAAACGCCATCTAGAGATTCAATGCAATCCCCATCAAAATCCCAACACAGTTCAAGTGCTCTGCAATTCAGTTTCCCTGCTACAGTAACCAGTGAGATGACATTTCAGATACAGAGATGACTTCTAGCTCTAATAATACTCAAGGTTTTACATTTTGTATATTACCTACTGGAAAAGACAGAAAATGTGTCGTGGGATTCTGTGTAAGGGCCAAATTGGGGAAGTCCGCAATGTTACATATGTCTTCAAGTCTTGCTGCTGCAGTAGAAAGCAGCTCATGAGAAGCCTCTCCCATCTCCACTCAGGAGTGGTGACTGAGCATCATGTAGAAGGGGACAAAGAACAATTTAAACTTTGAAAAGACTACAAAATAACACACTGACCTTTCTATTTTTAACTTGGATACCTACCATCCTGCCAAAAGACAGTTTCTAATGCAGTTTTAAATTGGATACCCATCCGCCCACCCACCAAACTCTAAGCCAGTGCTTTGTTTACTGCAAGAAAAAAGTGTACAGAATATTTAGGATGCTGAGTATTTCATAGGAAAGCTGGAAAGTGCTGCAAAGAGTCTTTTTAATTGTTTAACACCACCAAATAAATGAAATTCGGAGGATTTCCGGGGACAGAGTTGGGACTGTTGTATGATAAACCCGATGTCATCTAGTCTTTCTGTGGAGAGGCAGTGGTTACGCATTTTATAATGTCTGGGTACACTATTTCTTCTCATGACAATTTGTCATAATTCAGTAGCATGACCTTCCCCTAGAGATAGCGAAATATTTTGAAATGCTACAGCATTACCGAAGTTGTGATGACTCAGATCTGTACTACTCTTTATCGTAATTTGCACTGAAAAATAGCATTGAAACTACTCTACAAACTAACGTTAAATAAAAAGAGGAAGCATTTACGATAACTGTACCTTTTTTATTGTTTTTATTGAGCTATACATTTTTCTCCCTTGTCCCTTTTCTTGTACTTTTTTTTTAATACTTTTTATACTGTTGGATATTTATAATCAAGCTTTTACTCTAGGGTCTTATTAGAAAAAATAAAATCAGCAACCTTGGTATTTGATGCAAATGTAGTATGCTAAATTCTGAGATAGCCTGAGAAAAAGCTGGAGATATTATTATTCAATAGTAAAAGTAGATGAGGTTTCTCATCTGCATTGTAGCATTAAGTTAGTTTGTAACACTCACATTTATTTTTACATGTATGCCTGTGTGTGAATGTTTTTGTTGCATGTATATGCTCTACATGCATGCTTGGTGCTGAGGTCAGAAGGTATTGGGTCCCCTGGAATTTTAGATTCAAAAGGATGTGAGCCCCCTTATGAAGCTGGGAACCAACCCAAGTGTCCTTAACTACTGAACAATCTCTCTAAACCCTAAACTCACACTTCTTAAATTTAGCAGATGAAATGATGTTTTGAGTAACCTATATGAAACAGCCTTATGGAATTTTATCAACTGTTTTGTGACATAAACCAATGGGTGGGACCATTTCAGAGCTTTGAATGAATCCTTCTGACTCTGTTCCCAATATTCCTACTATAAGTAGATGGCAGTGTTGGAGCAGGCCCTTACTCTACAGCTTCCCCATGTGACATACATGGTTTAGGAGTGAGAGGTTGGAAGGCATCTCCAGAATCCAAACTTGCAGCTCAGCAGTTCCCCTCTGCTGTGGGCACCCTTTGCTCATGCATTTCAAAGGCAACTTTCAGTGGTTTGCTATCCCAGGATCACAATGTGCAATTGTGATTGGACACCAGGATAGAACTAATGTAGTGCAGAACGAGGAGTTACTTCCTTTCGAGATCCCTTCTTCATGACATTCTCTTAAATCTGACTGTAACAGAAAATCTTGGTAGTAAAGACAGGAGTAGGTCATGCCATCCACATCCAAGGTACTACCCTCCTGTGTAGTCCTGTGTAGACCTGCCTGGATGCGAAACCACCGTGTAACCAAGGCTCCTGGAACGTGCTGAAATCCATCTCTGCCCATGAGTTCTGTAGTCACAGGAGAGCAACCCCACATCTGACTCAAGAAAGGCTGTAAAACTGAGGAGTCGAAAATTGATTTTATTCATAAAAATACTCATTATACTCAATAGGAACTTTAGAAAGGGTAGTCAGTATATAAAGGGTAGGGCCTTAGCCAACTATTAAAACAACAAGACTAAATTATTTAAACACCAACAACAAAATTTAAACCAAAGCAAAGAAAAAAAAATACCCAGGCAACCAAAACCCAAACCAAAACCAGAACCTCTCCCCCATATTAAGCTAAAAATAGTCTCTAGCTCTAGATCCAAAAAAAATCAATCGGGAGCATCTGGCTCCCTAAAGACACCAAAGGTGACCAAACCTCCTCTATAGACCCTTTCTCAGGACTGACATTGCCAGTCCAGGATGTGAAACTGGAGAATCCCCTGACATTTTCTTTATGGATGATCAATGACTAACACAGGTGAGGGATGCTGTAGTCTCTGTACTGCGTTATCTTCACCAACACTTTCCTGTGACATGGAGTCTCCCTCAGCACTCACAGGAGAGGGAATCCTGTTCTTTTCCCTGTGGTGTGTACAGACTACAGCATGGCATCAGTACAGTCTTTCTCGTGAGAGTCCTCACCACATATGGAGGGCTCAGCCGGCTTACTAAAGACATGGAGAGTAAACTGACAGAGGAAGCCTTGCTCAGCAGCATATCCTCTCCATGCTGCTGTGCGCCACTCAGGGTTCACCTGCTGACCAATGTCGGGATTTGGAGTCATTCTTGGTGGGTCCTCTGAATGTCAGGCTTCTTTCTCATGATTTCATTTCTCCAGGAATAGTGGGCCAACAGAACATGAATCAGATTGGCGATGGATCTGCTGCAGGAGGTGGAGATTTTTCTTACTCGTTTGTTCACAGCTACAAGGAGGGGTCTGCTTCTCAGTAGGTGTTGCTGCTCGAGTGGAGAATGTGTGAAGCTTCCTTCAGCCTCCTCAGTTCTCCAAAGCGGAGCTGTCAGAGAAGGAAAGGCAATCAGATGCATAGGAAGCCTCATTGGACCACAGCCTAGACAAAACCAGGGACTGTCCACACATGGGAAACAAACATCAAGGAAGAAAACCCACCCCATGAATGCCAAGGTTGCAGGGGACAGGAGTCAATCAATGGTGGCTCATTGGCCTGGCACACTCAGGGCTCCTGCTGCAGCAGGTCTGTCTGCAGGAGGCTCTCATCCTGGACTGTGGCCAGATCATGCTGGAGGTTTTCATATTAGGGGAGGAAAACAGCTGGGACACAGGTCTGTTAAGGACCTCTCCTGTCAGCTTTTGAGCTCCCACCAGCTCTACTCAACTGGGAAATCCAGCATTACATTTGAGCTGGGCTCATTCACTCCTTGCTTCTTCAAGGATAAGACAGCACCTGAGTTTCTTTTATTCTCCACCTTTAAAACTGCTAGAAAGTGAGCTGAGAAATACACACTGTGGTGAACTAGAAAAATAGGCCATTACTCCAATAGTTTAGATACATTCTTTTGAAAAAACAGCAGTATAGCAATGTCTGGGTCACAGGCCTTGAACAGATGCCAGGAAACTGTGAGCAACCTGGGAAATTAACTGTATGAGGCCCTGAAGAGGAGCAAACACAACACTGCAGTGAAGGCTGGGCTTATTCCTTCAGCACAGAAACTTCCTTGGATTCAACATGTCAAATTCTAAATGTGATTTTAATTCCAGAGAAACCTTCTTACAGGAAGCAGATGCAAACTGCAGAGAACCCATAATCAATAAGAAGGTGCTGTATGCTAATCTGCCCAAGTGTAGGATTTTATCTCTAAAGGTGATACTCCTGGAGGAAAATAAAGTGGCAGGAGGAGACACCGTCTTCCACAATTAACACTGCCTCTATTAGGTCTGGGACTACCATAGGAAGGATCAATGCACTCAGAACACACGAAAGCACTCAGAATTGAAGACGTGCACACAATTGAGAAAGATTAAGGATAACACATATTGCTTCTGTGCAGACATTTCTGTTGACTGAGCCAGCCCAATACTCTCAGATGTTCTTTCCCTGGCTGTGACTGAAAAGTCATGCAAATGTCCAGGAACCCAAATAGGACAGAGATTCAGGTACTGGGAAGTACTTGATATAACTCCCTCTTCGTGGCCTGGGATCCTACCTCATCTGGGAGACAGCGAAGTGAATCTGCAGCTTTTCTGCCATTTCTATATGTTTGGTGACCTGATCCCTCAGCTTCAGCAGGAATTGTCGTCTTTCCACCAATATATCCTGTTTCTGTTCATTAGAAGATTATGTTCTTAGTGGAGGGTTGAACACTCAAATGCACACACACACACACACACACACACTCTCTCCTCAATGCACACTTCTGGATATACATGTACAAGAACATACACATTCAGCAAAATAACAAGAATTAATCATTTGATATTTCTCTGTATCAATGGTCTCATTGCCTTAATAAAAATACACAGAATGACAGAATGGATGCCGAAACAGGATCCATTTTTCTTCTGCATACAAGAAACAAACTTCAACATCAATTATAGACATTACCTCTGGGTAAAGAATTGGAAAAAAAATCATCCAAGCAAATGTACCTAAAAGAAAGCTGGTGTAGCTATTTTAATACCTAACAAAATCGACCTCAAACCAAAATTAATCAAAAGACATGGAGAAGGGCACACCACAAAGATGACATTTTAATTTGTTTTTTAAATTTTTTGAGACAGGGTTTTTCCATGGCTTTGGAGCTTGTCCTGGAACTAGCTCTTGTAGACTAGGCCGGCCTTGAGCACAAGGAGATCTGCTTCCCTCTGTTTTTCAAGACCTGGGATTAAAAATCTGCACCACCACCACCTGGCCATCATTTCAATTCTTAACATCTATGCCCTAAGTAAAATTTTAAGATAAACATTACTATAGCTTAAAACACATACTGATTTCCACATGCTAATATGGAAATTATTACCAATAATAATCTCAGTCTTACCAATGTGCATGTTATCAGTGTACAGGTCATGCAAAATTATTAAACTCTGGATTAACTGAAGTTTTAAACCACATAAACCTAACAGATATTTACAGAGCATTCTAGCTAAACACAAAAGGGTGCACCTTCTAAACAGCATCTGAAAGAATTTTCTCCAAAACTGACCACATACTTAAATATAAAGCAAGTCTTAAAAGAAACAGAAAAACTGAAATAATTCTCTGTATCTATCAGACCATTAGAGAATACAACTGTATATCAACAATTAAAGAAAGGAAAGCATATATAAGTTCATGGAAAGTGAAGATCTCTATATTGACTGAAAAGTGGACCAAAAAATAAAGAAAGAAAGAAATTAAAGACTTTCTAGAATTCAATGAAAATGAATACATACCTACGCAAACTTATGGGACACAATGAAAGTAGTGCTAAGAGCACTAAGTGCCTACATTAAAAAATGGGAAGATATCATACTTAATAGTAACACCTCAAAGCTATTGAACAAAAGGAAATATGTCCAAGAGGATTAGACCAGAAGAAATAATCAAACTGACAGCTAAACCAATAAAATAGAAATAAAGATAATTGTACAAAAATCAGTGAAAGAAAGAATTGGTTCTTTGAGAAAATCAACAAGATAGATAAACCCTCATCCAAGCTAAATAAAGACGGGCAAAGAATATCCCAATTAATAAAATCAGAAACCGTATGGGGACATAACAATGGATACCGAGGAAATCCAGAGAAACACAAGGACATACTTTAAATCATGTACTTCATCAAACTGGAATATCTATAAGAAATGAATAATTTTCTCAATAGGAATCATTTATCAAAGTTAAATTAAAATCAGATAAATAAATAGACCTACATTCCCCAGTGAAATAGAAGCCATTGTTAAAAGCCTCCCTCCACCCCACAAAAAAAAACCCAGGGTCAAATGGCTATCGCACAGAATTCTACCATACTTTAAAAGAATAGTTAATGGCAATACTCCTCAAATTAGTTTGCAAAATAAAAACAGAAGAAACAGTGCCTAAATCATTTTATGAGGTCGCAGTTACCTTGATACCCAAACCACAGAAAGACTCAACAAAGATACTTACACACCAATTTCCCTAATGGACATAGATGAAAAAGTACTCAATAAAATACTTGCAAATAAATCCAAGAATATTTCAAAAAGATCATCTATTATGATCAAGCAGTCTTTAACCTAGAGATGTAGGGATAGTTCGGCATATGAAAATTAGTCAATGTAATCTACCATATAAAATGAAGAAAAAACATATGGTGATCATCTTACTAGATACCAAAAAATCTTTGACCCTTTCATGAAGAAAGACTTCAACACAAAAACAGACAGGAGAGAATATAAGGAATAGCTGGAACATGCCAGCAAAGGAGATAATTTCTGAAGAGAACACTGGCACTAAGATTAACAATTAATAAAGGACCTCAGGGAACTAAAAGGCAAGGAACACCATGAGTAGGAGAAAATAGAGGTTTAAAGAATGGGAAATGATTTTCATCAACTCGCATCAGACAGAGGGCTAATAGCCAAAATATATAAAGCATTCAATAGACTAGACATCAACAAACCAAATCGTTCAATTATGAAACGTGACGGTACAGATAGAAACAGAAAAAAAAAAAAGAAGAATCACAAATAGGTGAGAAACATTTAAAGAAATGTTCAACATTCTTACCCTTCAGGGGAATTTGAACCAAAAACTCCTTTGAGATTCCACCTTACACCTGTCAGAATGGCTAAGATCAATGGCACGAATGACAGCTTATGGTGGTGTGGATTTATAGCAAAGGAAACACTCCTCCATTTCTAGTGGGAGTCCAGAGTTGTCCAGCCTCTATGGCATCAACATGACGATTCCTAAGAAAATTGGGAACTGATTTACCTCAAAATCTAGGTACACCGTTCTTGGACATATATCTAAAGGATGCTCTATCCTATCACAAGAACACTTGCTCAAATACCTTCACTCTGGCTTTATTCATAATAACCAGAAACTGGAAACAACCTTGATGTCCCTCAATGAAAGAATGGATAAAGAACAGGCAGTACATTTACAGAAGAGAATATTACTTGGCTGTTTGAAAAGTGATATCCAATTGCTACTATAAGCAAATGGGTGGAGCAAGAAAAAACTCATGCTGACAGAGATATCTGAGATCCTGAAAAACACATATTATATGTATTTACTTATAAGTGGGCATCAGTTGTTAAGTAATTGATAATCAAGCCACTTTCCACAACCCAGAAAGGTTAGGTAAAGAGAAGGTCACTAGAGGAAACAGAAGAATTTCCCTGGGAAAAGAAAATAGATTAGATGTTGACAGTAAACTTTGGTTGGGTGGGGAGGGAATTGAAAGGGATCCTGTAGGGGGGAGGGATGGAGGGAGAGAGTGTGGAGAGAGAGTGTTGGAGTTGGGGGGCTCCCAGAGGCTGCTATGGAAAGCTAGTACAGATAAAACTTCCTGTAATCTATATGAGGGATCCTAGTGAGGAATCCTAGTAGTGGAACATACAGAGTCTGAACTGACCATCTTCTGTAGCCAAGAAAGGCTTCCAGTGCTGAGACTGGATTGCATTCAGTTGAATATTTGCCTGGAGGGGATTCTGTGGAGATCCCTATACAGCTCCGGCTCATGCTAGGACAGTGTGTTGCTCTCTGAAAACTAACAGTGGGGTCCCATTGTTGTGGACAACATCTACACATCATTGAACCTAGAGAGAGCAAGCTGTTGCCTGCATGGAGCCTTCACCCATATGCTCTAGTCTCTTTGGCATGGGATGATACTCTGCAGGTTACAGAAAGAGAAACATGACATCAACTCAGCCACAAAAACCTTGACTTACAGTCTGTCCTCCCTGCAAGTTATGCTGGGGCACTGTTGGTGCAGAACTTGAGAGAGTGGCCATACAATGTCTGGCTTAACTTGAGGCTCATGCAAGGTGAGGCAGTCCATGCCCTATAATCCCTGGATGGCTAAAATCTGGAGACCAAATAGCCCAGAGACATAGCACAGAAGCAAACATAACTAAAAAAAAATCAATGAACTGATTACTAATATTCCTATCAATGTTCTGCTATACTCATAGATTGGTGCCTTGCTGGTCCTCATCAGAGAGTATTTCTCTAGCAGTAGTTGTGTGGAAGTGAGTATATGAATTCGAACTTTCTATCAGTCCTACCCATTGGAGCTCAGGAAAACTTTCAGAAGAAATGGGGTGGTGTGCGGATTTTAGGAGTAAGCGGGAATGATGGGCTGGAGGGCACTAGGAGAACATGGCCCACTGAATCAAGTAAACAGGGCTCACATAGGCTCACAGAGTTATGTATGGGGCCTGCATGGGTCTGCACCATGTTCTGTACATATATGTTGGTGTTTTGGTGGGACTCTTAATAGTGGGAGTGGGTGTGGTGTGTCTCTGACTCTTTTGTCTGCTCTTGGGATGCCTTTCCTCCTATTGCGAAGCTTTGTCCAGCCTCTGTATGAAGGCCTTTTTCTTGTTTTGTCATGCTTGCCTGTTCTTTTCTGGAAAGAAAACCAAGGGTAGCAGATCTGGAAAAAGAGAGGTTTATAGGAGCTGAGAGAAGTGGTGGTAGAGAAAACTATGGTATGTGAGAATAATTTATTGTCAATAAAAGGAAATATTCACTCAATAAAATAATGTGAATCGTTGAAGAGTTACAACACTTTAATACAGAGTTATTACCTGTGTAATCTCTACCCAAAAAAAAAGAGTTTAAAATTTTCTTCCTCTAAAATATTAACAAGGAGCAGGAATCCCTATGATTCGATGGCATATAATATTTTTCACTTATAGCTGGGATTCATAGGCCATGGCTAGAGTGAAGGAGGTAAAATTGCCTTTTCTGTGAAGTGTAAAATTTATGGACAGATCCTTAGTAAGGGTTAGATTCTACCTCCTGCAGGAAAATCCTCTGCTCCTGGAGGTCTCAAACGCAATGAGAGCTGGAGGGTTGCACCGAGCAGACACCAGCTATAATGTAAGAGGTGAATTAAAGGTAATAAATTCATCAGTTCCTTCAGGACAGACATCTTATCTGTTTGCTCCGGGTATAGCTTACTTCCTGGCATTTATGGGACTCCCAACATAGACTGTTGAATGGTTAAATGAATGAAAGCTACCTTTATGTTATTCATCTTAAAGCTACCTGTCTACTAATGATAAAGCATCTTAAATTATATTTTCACAGATGCTTTTGAGATGACTATAATTTAGCACCTATGTCTTACAAACACAAATGTATAATTTACTGACCTTGGACATTTGGTTTAAACATCAATTTTAATTTAAGTATTTAGACTAGGATTGAGCTTGTGATGCAAACCCTTAATCCTAACCACTCAGTGACTGAGACAGAAGGACTGAACATTAAAGTCTGGACTGAACTCCATTGTGAGTTCAAAGCTAATCTTTGGAATGTAGTGTGATCATATCTCAAGACTTTAAAAGGATTTGGTGATATATCTCATTGTTAGAATGTGTAACAAACAAGAGCAAAGCCCAGGTTTAATGTTATTTTAATAATAAGATCAAATAACCATGGGAGAACTGCTATTTTCTGAAGGGAAATTAAGGAGGAGTGGACCCGGGGTCCGGGGAGCAGGGGGTGAATGACTGGGAGGAGGGAAGGAGGTTGAACTGTTGAAACATGAGAGAAGATGAAAAATGTAGACAAGAACCACCCCTTTGACATTTACACGGGGATTTCATCCTTCAAAGCTGTTTCCAGACATTGATCTCACAAGATGCTAAATCCTAAGAAAGTCTTGGAATAATCACAGAAATCAACAACTAGACAGGATGTTAGTGAGCTACTGGAAAAGTGGGTGGATGATCACGTGTGTGTATTACTACTGATGATGGACAGCCTGCCCACTTTGCTGCAGCCTACCTTATCCCCCTCGTCACATAGCTCACAGAACTTCTCATCGGTCTTTTCATAGAGATTCTTCACCTTCTCACAGGCCACTAGCAGAGAAATCTGCTCCCTCCGTAGCTTTTGGTTCTCCTCTCTCAACATGCTCACTTTTTTCTTCAGCTGAGTTCGCTCACTCAGGAGCTGGTTGTGGAGGATGCTGAACCATCACAAAAACAACATGAGACCTACCTAGCCTCCATCTCCTACATCACCCATGCAAACTCCCATGTCCCCAGACAGTCCTAGACCAGAGCTCACAGTCACCATGCCAGGATACCCTAATGGCTGTCAAATGTCAGAGAATGGCTAAATTACAGAAAGACTCAGACTGCTTTTGAAAACTGTTACAATAAAAGAAATGCATGTACTTCTGAGAGCAGGGTTTGCCTCCTACCACATGTACTTAACTGTCCACGGTACTGGGAAAGCATCAGCAGGTTGAGAGGTAGAAGACAAACATTCTGTGAGGGAGGACAGCAGACCCAATTCAAATATATTCTATGTATGGGTAGGATGGGATCACCTCTGTAAACCCCTACCAGAGCCCCCAAGACCCACAAATGCCTGACACCTTTATCATGGTACAAATAGATTTTCTATCTAGAGGCTCCTGGGGCTGGCAGGACAATGTTGTGATGGGCTCACAGATACTTCAGTCTTAGCAAAACTAGTCCAGTAGGTCCAAGTCAAGAGCATAAGACAGAATGCTTTTTATAGGGAGACAGGCCAAAAGGAAAGTCCTCACTTTGGTTCAAAGACAAAAACATGGCAAAAGCAGTCACTGCCAAGGAATAGAGTCCCAGTGAAGGCAGTCACTCACCTGTAAGAGACAGTTTCCTCAGTCAGCTCCTTGCACTTGTACAAGGCCTCTCTCATCTCCATGGGGAATTTCTGTAGATCCAACATCACTTTCTTATGCTCCATATTCAGCATCTCCAACTCAAAATTTAGCCTGTATTAGGGCATAGCACCAGAGCAAAGAACCCTGTGAATTCTGGCCTTAATGATCCTATGATTTCAGGCTGTGCCCTGAACACCCAGCACAGTCAATGTGACATTCTGAGAGCTATGAACCAGGACAACTTGGTGCTATTTAACCTTGCTGACCTGGCCCCAGACCAGCAGTCAGGGGTGCAAAGGGAGTGATCCAGAGCTGCATGAGTTCCATTAATGGGCCTGGAGGAATAGAATAGTTAAGTCCTGGGGAGCCTGTGTCACAAGTCTGATCCCACCAGAAATCTATGATAATGTTGTTCCCATCTTCAGAACGGGGATTTTTGATCCCAGGTTCCTATTGCTACATGGATGTCTAAAGCACAAAATCAGTGTTTCCAGCGAGCAGACCTGACTTAAGGATAGATATATAAGTCTCCAGTGGATTCCAATGGGCTGCCAAGGTGAGCACACGGGCCAGGAGCACCATCACTGGTCATAGTGGAGTTCCCTGACCCTAAGGGAACTTAGTGGGATCACAGAAAGAACCACATGCCACAGACCCCCAACTGCTAGGATACACACACACACACACACACACACACACACACACACACACACACACGGAGGATGCCAAATAAATGTAGGCAGGCAGAATTATCTCAGAATATAAGAAACCAGACTAGAGAGGAGCAGTGACGAAGTTCAGACCTCAAGTCACACACTGAGAGGCACCAAGACGACTAGGCCCCTGCAGCTGCTCCCAGGAGCAGCCAGTACTCAAGCACCTGCTGATTAAGCACAAAGACTCATCATAAACTCACAGAATCTAGCATCGTCCACAAGCCAACACCTGTCAAGGCCTCATGAAATGTTTGCTGAGAGCTCACAAACTATTGCCCCATCCCCAGACTGATCCAGGCCACAGGCTCTGCTTTTCATTTAGAGGAATCACACAGCCTGTGTCCTGATATCACTCCTTCCCAGATTTCAGCTATGCCTCTCAGATGCCCTCAGGATATTTAGTTTAGGCAGAACACTCTGGAGGTGCAGCCTCCAGTGACCTGAGGAATGCTGGGGTTGACTCGGTAGGGTCAAGACAGTTACCCAGGAACTAGACCAAAAGGCTACCTGTTGTTCAAATCCTTGTTGGTATAATTAGCCAGAATCCCACGAAGTTCATTCCTTTCTTGGGTCATCATCTGAAGCTGCAGGGTCAGTGTAGCCACCTTGTTCATCCGCTGCTCCTGCCCAGTAACGGAGTTTGGGGTTGATGTTTTTCCGGTACTCCCTGCAGGTAGATAAATATTAGTGAATTTATGCAGTAGTATGGCACAGGACCAGGAGAGATCATGTTGAGTTCGAACAAGAGGCCAAGGAAGAGTGAATGCATGGAACACAGTGAAGGATCAGGACAACTGTCCTCAAACTGGGAGCCCATAAGCTATGCCTCTGTCTCCACTCACTGTGGCTAGCTATGTGTATCAGCCCCTACTGCTGCCCACTGGCCCTGAAAGGCATATGTCACCCAGCCATGCTGCTTTGGAAATATCAACTCATTTCTGATGTGATACAGAAAATTCCTGGAGTCTCCAGTGCTTAGAGACTCGCAGTCTCTTAGTGTGGCCTGGAATAGAAGTAACTGAATGTCTGAGACCCTGGTGCATAGATGGGGAATTTCCCATGAGATACTCACAGAACCTAAAGAAATCACTGATGATGAGTTGTAGCAACTCATCACACCACATTAGTCTGTGCCTCCTGCTGGTATTTGCCACTCAAAATAAAATTAAGGAACTCATAGAACAGCAGCTGTAACCTTGACAACTCCTGGATCTCTGCCAAACTAACTAGCAGCAATCCTTGACTATGGATCTGCACTTTAGTAACCCAGAGAAGCAACATAGAACCATCTCTTCCAAGATTCCAGCTACTAAACCCCATTTCTGTAAGGTCCAACTCAACCCCCAACCTCCTCCTTCGAAAGTCAGATCTCTCTGCCAACCAGTGTGCTCAATCTTGCCATTGTCTCTTCTGGTGAACCCTATATGCACGTAATTGATGTGGGAGTGATTTCTTATTAATAAAGAAACTGCCTAGACCCATTTGATAGACCAACCCTTAGGTAGGCAGAGAAAATAGAACAGAATGCTGGGAGAAAGAAGCTGAATCAGGAGTCGCCATGATTCTCCCACTCCAGGCAGATGCAGGTTAAGATCATTCCTGGTAAGCCAGCTCGTGGAGTACACAGATTAATAGAAATGGGTTAGATCGATATGTAAGAGCTAGCCAATAAGAAACTGAAACTAAAGGGTCAGGCAGTGTTTAAAAAAATACAGTTTCCGTGTAATTATTTCAGGTAAAGCTAGCCTTGTGGGCGGCCGGGTGCTAGGGATGCAGCCCCGCTGCTCCTATTTCCAAACATAATGAGTGCCCCAAGAACACAACACTGTTGCTTTCAAAAAGAGATGCCAACGACTCTTTACGATACAGCAGAATGTCCAGAGAACGGACTGTTAGGGTCACTGCCAACTGCCATCACTTATCTCATAACTGTCTCTTCCCCAGTTCACCAAAAGCCAAGCTGGCTTTTTCAGGTGCCTTCCCTAAGACACAGGGGATGCTCGTCAGCAGCTCTCTGATAGTTAGACTCTATTTAATTATAATTTAATACTTCATCATTTATGGAGGTCAAGACTCATTTTCTAAACATTCCCAAGGAACGGCTCTTCACCTCCTAATCAAAAAGATGGGAAGTGAAGGATACTAAGAAATTAGCTCATGTTGATGTGGAATGAAGTTCAGTTTCATGAAGTGAATGAGTACCTCAGGAAATATCCACAGTGTTGTTACAATGTGTGGGGGTGATGGGGACTGTGGGTGACCCGTCAGACCAAAGATGAGTCACATGGGTAATGATGAAAATTTCCCCCAAACTTCAGCAGAATACATTCCATCCATAATGATGTTAGCAAAAGTGAGATCACCTAGTGACAGGACAGACTGGAGACACCTAAGGGCATCCACAGGTGAGCCCTCACTCACCAAGAACAGACACTTGCAGGGAGAGTGATGGCTCATTCCTGCACTCAAGTTAAAGTTAAAGTCAAGTTAAAGATGACTGGCTATTGAGATTCAGGAACTCAGAAACCTTAGGGGTCACTGACATGCAGCAATACCCAATGGTTCCTACCCTGCAAGTGGATGTGAGGTAAAATTTGAGATCCTCCAGCTTTGGCCAGAGGATTTTACTCTCCCTGTTATTAGTGACACACAACAAAAAGAAATCCAGTGTGGGTGAAGCTCAGTGCTGTAACTGAAACCTCATTCATCCCTCTCTCCTTCCTTCCCACTCAGAGTCAAAGCAGAGGGTCCCTAGCACATCAGCTGCAGGGTTGACCATTACTGGCTCTCTGCCAATCTAAGCATCAGAAACCCTAAACTCCAGGTCTACTCTTTAGTAACAAAGAGAAGCAGGATAGATTCATTACCTCCACGAAGCTCTAAGATCCTGTGACTCACTATGAAAAACCAAGTTGAAGCCTTCCACCATCAAGAAACTCCCCACTCCCTCCCCAGGACTCACTGCATTTTCCCCAGAACCATTTATGTCTTGATGTGCAACACTGAGGTTGAGGGCCAGCTTCCTTCTGCCTCCCTCTAGTCTCGTTATGCTCTCCTTTCTGTCTCCCAAGGAGCCTGCTCAGTCTTGCCAACATGGCTACGTCCAAAACCCGCAGGCAATGAACAGATGCCCCACAGGCAGTTGGTGTTGCCACAACACTGATGACATCACAGAGAATCAGGGCTCTCCAGGATACAATAGAATGTCCAGGGAGGGGTCTGCTGCTGTCCATGGTACAGCCATTACCTCTGACTCATTTCCTCACTCCAAAATGACCTTAAACCAAGCAGCCATATCAGGAGCCTCTCTGGGGTCAAAAAGGGAAAAGGAAGCTCTTATACAGGTAGTAATAAAAAATTTCCCCTGGAGAATCAGCAGAGCTCACTCAGGCTTGAAGGTTGTGAGTGAAGATGTAATTCACTCTTGACGTGTCTGGTTGGAGTCACATGAGGCCAGGTGATCCCTCAGATATTTAGAAAAAACAGTCCTAGAAGCAATATGATGGTCCAAACCTTGAATCAATATACTGAGGCAAGAGCTGTGACAAGTCAGAGGTCTGTCGGGGCTCTGTAGAGGCACCCTAAGTTGGAAACACACATGCACACACATACAGATAGAAGAGGCACACAGTCATGGGATAGAATATGATGTACATCACTGCTATGGTCCTTCTATAAGCAAACAAAAGCCAAATTCCTTGGCCTAGAGCCAGGTGTTATGATATATGTGCTTGTTAATGGCTTTGGGTACAATACCTATTAGGAGATCATGAGAAGGACAGGCATTTGGAGAGGCTTGGGGTTATTAAATCAAAGAGTTTGGTGATAGCCTAACCTCAATTTTCTATTTCTGACAGTTCTTGTAAAGAGGATCCAGCCCATCGTTAGGCTGAAATTCATTTTCTCCAGATCTCTGGACTTTCTCAACAGAAGCATGTTCCTTAGAACTTAGGCCTGAAGAGGTCTGTCAGGTAATCTGTGCCATTTCAGATATGGAAGCCCTAAGCAGGTGAATGTGATTAGCAACTTTTTTTCTAAATAGGGTCTTGGAGAGACCAACAAGTTGAGAACCATACATCTGGCAAAACTGGTATGAAAAAGTTTCATGAACATACAGAGTGGTGCTGTGGTAACGAAGCAGAAGTGAGAAGTGAGATACAGAGAGAGAAAGAGAGAGAGAGAGAGAGAGAGAGAGAGAGAGAGAGAGAATATGGTTTGCAAATCAATCTGAGATGTGACAAGATCTAGAAAACAAGGTATAATGGATTACCAGCAAATTCCAGCAACTAAGAAAGAGGCCTGTGTAGGGAAACCCAGCCCACGGGGGTGTGTTAGCCTTGGGCTAATGTTTGGGTATAAAATCTGGCTGGTGTGAGCCCCGCCGGTCCTTTTTTGTACTTCCTGTTCATCACTGGATCCCTAGTGTCATAAGCTATTCCCTCATTAAAGTTTACTATTTCACATGAAGCTAGCCTGGTTATTATGCCACACAGCTTGGCCTTTTCAATAATTAATTGTGAGATATCACACTTCCATGAACACACTTCTCCAACTCAGGAGACATACTTATCCACCCCAGCCAAATATGCACAAAACCATTCTGCATGTGCCTGCCTCTAATCTCACCAGTCTCCCACACAAATAGTCTTCACTCTCTTCCAAATGACCTGAGATTCAGTTGACAGGTGACTGCCCCTATGACCTACAATGTTTTCTCTCGACCCACCCATGGAATCTGGAAGGTGCTCATGAAATGAACTGAGAGATAAGACTTTGCCTACCTGATACTCAAAATGCACCCTTGAGATTCTCAATCTCTGGATGAAAACCCTAAACCATCCCTCTGCAGGAAAGGGAGTCTTGCTGTCAGCTAGTTTTTCTTCTTCCCTTTACATTCTTCAGAAATCGAGGGGACAGCCTCCTCAAGCCTATTCACAGCGGCACATGGTACAGCTTGGCTTCATAACCCTCAAGTCTCACCTCAAGAAGTCAAAAGAAAATTGACAGATGTCACAAACACTCCCATGGTTGGAGATGCCGAGGTTATCTATTGTTCACTCTAGCACCTTGCAGGGCCAGAATGTGTTCCCCAGACTAAGCATGTTATCTTCTCTGATATCATCCCAGGACACACAAATCTGGCTGGAAGGAGCCAAGCTTTCTTCTTTTCCATGGTCTCATAAGGCCCATAATATTGTGAGGTAAGTTCACGTATTATCTCTGCATGGACATTTGCCTATCAAAGAAAACTCATGTACCCAAAACATAACTTCTGCTATCTCTGGTTCCACCAGAGTCTTGTTCTAATTCTGCATTCCTTAGTAAATGCAACTTGTGTCTTCTATTGCTTAAAGCTTCCTTTTTTTCCCATAGTACACACCATTGAGAGTTTGGCTAAATCATCAAGAATTGGCTAATACAGCATTCATCATCCATTCACTTTACTTTAAAATTATTGAGGGATGTGCCCTAAAAAAACAAGTCTTTATGTTTCCTGCACCTCCATTTTCTAAAAAGCTTTCAGAGATCTCACTAACAGAATTACCTGCCCACTCCTCTATCAGTCAAAAGGGTCCTTAAGGGTTATATGCATATTTACCATTAAGTCTGCAAATGCTTCATTCTTGATGCTTGCAGCCCTCAACTTGGGCTGAACTTAAGACATACGTCCAGGAATACAATCTCAGAGAAGAATTTAAAACAAAACTATGCATATAAAACTAAATTACTACAATATTTCAAATAAAAATATGAACCTTGTATAAATGATGTTACATATACATATACATGAGCATCTTTCCACATAGTTAGGAACCAGAAATACCTGGAGTGCGTGTACAAAAGTATAAATGTTCATTTATCAGGTGGTTAATGAATGCTGCTCCCATTAGAAATGATAACCTCTGCTGACAGTACAGAGCAACCACTGACCATGGAATATTCTGCAAGGCATAATTCAAAGTACAAATGATGCATCACTGGGACACATTACTCAGATATTTTAGTAAAATTTTTACTGTATGATTGCTCTTGGAGAGTACCCAGGTTGCAGTACACTCAGGCAAATGGGGGCTCACAGCCATCTGTGACTCCAGTTGCAGAAGATATTATGCCCTCTTGTGACCTCTTTGGGCAGTGCAAACATGTGCACCAGAGACATACATTCAGGCAAAACACCAACACCCACACACGTAAAATGAAAGTGAAGAGAGTTTTTAATTGACCCGGATATTATAACCTTCCTGACACACTCATGTACTATTCTAATGTGTAGGTCCATGTGTTATGCATTTTCTGGTAACATGTTTGCTCTTGATGATGTGTAAGACAGGCTCTCCATATGTATTCCTGGCTGTCCTGGAACTCACCATGTAGACTGTGCTGGCCTAAAAATATCCAAATGCTTCTGCATCCCTCATGTTGGGATTACAAGTGTGAATCACCATTCATGCTCCACCTTTTTGGGTAACTTCATTTTATTGTTTTTGTTTTGTCAATGAGACAGAATCTCACTTGATAGCCAAACTATCCTAAATTTCACTATGTTGACTAGGTTGACTTTAAACTTTCAGAGATCTACATGTCTATACCTACCGAGTTCTGGAATTTAAGGCATGAATCATTATGCATGACATGACTTTCCATGTGTTTTTAATAGATGGAGGATGTGGTTGGAGGCTGCTTGTTCAGTCCTGGCTGCCCAGACTATAAAATAATCACTCAGAAACTATATTATTTGTAATACTGTTTGGCCAATAGCTTAAATGTATTTCTGGCTTCTTCTTATATCTTAAATTAACCCATCTCCATTAATCTGTATATGGCCACGTGTTGGTGGCTTACCAGTATGGTCCTGTCTGGTGTCTGTCTCCAGTTGGACTACATGGCTTCTTCCTGACTCAGCCTTCTTTCTACCAGCATTCAGTTTAGTTCTGCCTGCCTACCTTTAATCTGTCTAATCACAGGCCAAAACGGCTTCTTTATTCATTAACCAATAAAAGCATCACACAGACAGAAGGACTTCCCACACCAGGAAGAGAAGCTATATTCATAGAAAAGAATTTCAGTACTATGAACTTAAGCTAGCTAATCCTTTTATTTTCATATATGCTATGATATGGATTCCATTTCCCAATTCAGATTCTCAGAGTTACAGGGAAGTAATACTTCATTTCCATAAATATCACAGGGATTCCTGTAGATTAACCTAAGTTTGGATAAGGTTTTCTATCCTACTAGGCAGAAGAGAAATATATTTTGTATTCTTCTGTTTGATTGTGTTCAGGACTATTAGGCAGTCTGTTCAGTACCCTCAAGAATTGGTTCTGGCCAGGAGGAGGTTCTGTTTCTCACAGAGACACTTCTGTGTGGACTCTTTGAGCACGGTGCTGCTGGGAACCTGAAGTTTCTCTAATACTGAAATGGCAGAGCCTCAAGCACTTAGGAAGTGAGTGATTATTCAGACATTCGCTTCAAATGACTCGTGCTCTTAATTAAAGCTCTCCCTAGGTGTAAGAATTTTTGATTGAAGAGCTGTTGAAGATTGTTGTGATAGAAAAGAATTTGCAACATTATTGACATTTTAAGGTTTCTCACCAGTATGGATTCTGTGATGTCTTTGAATATTAGAGAACTTGGTAAAGGTCTTGCCACATTCTTGACATCTGTAAGGTTTCTACCAGTATGGATTCTCTGGAGAGCTTTAAGATTTGGATGATGGGTAAATGACTTGCCACAATCTTTGCATTTGAATGCCTTCTCTTTGGGATTAAATCTCATATTCCTAATGAGGCATGTACATCTTTTAAAGCACTTTCTACATTCCTTATACATGCTTTGTCTCTCTTTATCTTGATTGTTTCATAATACTTTTCTTGATTCTGGTCATGCTAGACAATTAAGACGTCTGTAGTATAATCAAAAGCCTCTTTAAACTTGTCATATATGTACTGGCTCTTTGACTCAATCATACTACAAGGACATTTGTTCAACTATGTTCATAGCAGCACAAAAGCCAGATCCTGGAAACAATCTAAATGTTCCTCAACTGAAGAATGGATAAAGAAAATGTGCCACATTTACACATTAGAGTAGT